GGAAATGAAAGATGGCGGTGCACACCGGAATTGGTGAGGATAAAAGGAGGATGAACGAGCCACCAAGAAATTCGGGATAATACCAAACTTTGGTCAAAGACTCAGCGATGGTAGTACATACCTTACACACGGGACAGAATATATCTGGAGAACTTGGTAGTTTCAAGACGGGGACATCACAACTTCTGATAGCCCAGGCGATGGAAAGTATGAAGCATCTCAGCGTGAACAGAATCGAAGGTGTGAAACTTGCGAGCGTACGGAGTTGACAAGTGAATGTGTGTGACTGTCAATGCACGTAGAATCATTAGCAAAAGCAGGAAATTTCCGATCCGACTAAAGGTCACAGAACCCCCTCTTCCTTACAGAACTATCGCAGCACTAGCTCATCCACACAGATGAATGGGAAGTACGAACGAAATTCAAGAGGGATCATCACGTGAACCGTACTGAAAGAACTAGATCCTAGGCTAGACCCAAATCAATGTAGCTTTCCCCATCGGCTTGACAGTGTAGCGACCCAGTCACCCACATACTTGACTGTTCAGCTCACAGTCGCTCACTGGATCGCGAGACTTGTTTTTTTTTTCATACGCCTCACCGGCCATCAACTGTCTGCACCGCCTAGTCAGCGTAGCAACCACTCATGTGCCGACGCGCCCACGTACACGCATGGGACATACACAAAGGGAAACCGAACCCAGTCAGCACACAGACTCGCGCGCGCGCAGGGAGCAAGGAGTCAGCCAAGCACTCCAAGTCCACGGACAATCATGGAACACGTGTAGCAGCTATACTACGAAGAAAACATGTTCCCACCGTCCATACTTTTATCAAGGGACTCTCACATATGATAAGTTCCCTTTTTTTGACTCGCTCCCATTTCGCACTGTATTTGTTGTTATACTTGTCGCAACCATACTAAAAACTTCTATTAGTGCACATACACCTTTTGATTTGTATTATGGTCACCATCACTGTGCACTAAAACACTTAGTCACCCACCCTAACACATAAAATCCCTCGACTTACACCTAACAGAGATTTAGCTTGATTTAGCTGATTGGTTCTCCTTCCACCATAAATCTCGACCAACCTCGTAACCTTGGCCTGATGAAGCTTTTGTGTCAAAAGTGAAACGTTGTCCAGCAATAAATCTGTCAATTGTTATCATACTTTTCCGAAAATGGTGGCTCGAGGTCTAAATGAGAACAATTCCGTTGGCTATAGGAGAAAATAAGTAATTATGCAAGCCTCATGGCGTTAGACGGAATCCCGTAGTAAAACGGTTTTGTCGCTCGCATTTAGGCGTCCCTATGGCCAGAAAGCACAACTCGTATGCTATTGGCCTGAAGATCGGACCGCTTACCGGTTCAGGATTACTGTGGGCTCCAATTGGCCGAAAGTATGCACTCGACAGCCAATCAGGTTTCAGCATCTGAAGGATGCCGATTGCCACGGTCGTGTCGCGAATGAGCCGGGACTTTCCAGAATTTTGTCGCCTCATCTACTTTGTGCATGTGTGTTCGACCTGGTTTTGAGCATTTAACACACGTGCACTTTTGTTGGTTCTTTTTTCCGAAACTACCAGCTCAGAATGTTTAGACGGAGAACCGAGCTGAGCGATCTCCCTTATTACACATGGTTAGTTCCAAAATGCACGTGGTCCAGTTGAAATATAGACTATACGGGGGGTTTGTTTTTCCTACCACATTAGCATTGTTTTGGACAGAACCTGCCTTTGTACACAGAGGTGGAATAAACTGATCAGTGATAACATTCCTAGGGCTGTTCAGTAAACGCGCATTTTTGGGAAAACGGGAATGAGATTATTTAGAGTTGCTTCTAGTATGGACTCAAGTGGAATATAAGTTTGGAGGAAATTTAGTGGCTACGTTTACTTGGTAAGCTCCAAGAAGGGCGAAACCTCACGTGAACTGTCAGAGGGTAGTTTGTTCTGTCAAGACAAAATACTGGATTCCGTTTCAGGGTCTACCCGAGACCCACTGCGAATGAAGCGTTTTTTTATGCTTTTTCATCCTTAGAGGCATGAAGCACTATGATGTGTGCTCATTTGACAGTGTTCCAAGTTGCCTCATCTGCCCGTCGACAGTGCTGCACAAACCAGTCAAGGCGATATACAACACATGATTTGGAGCAAGCGGCGCAGGATGGATAGTTGGTGAGGTGGGGCGATCGAGCTTCACCAAGTTGGCAGGAAAGTACACTCTTCAAAGTGAAGCATTCAAACAACTGTTGATGAGAAGTTGAATGACGCCGTCTTCATATGTTGAACAAAGGAACATAGGTCTTTGTCAGACGGTTGAAACGGAACCATATAGTTCTCCTGATTTACCATAGACGTTTCCAAGCAGAGCGTACGCTATAACGCTTTTCTTTTCCTGGGACTGCTCCGAAAGTTAATGAGAAATTTATATATTTTACCACCTTAGTTCAAGAAGAACAAATTTCGCGCTCTGTGACTTTTTGAAAGAACCACGCTGACCAAACTCATTAAGAATTCTCAACGAAACAGAAGCAGTGAACCAGGCGAACGGAGATTAAATTTTTTTGTTAGATTGGCTAAGAGGACATTTGAGCTCGAATTGCCCTAAGGGCGCAAAAAATACACAAATGAATGTGTCAAAAGTTTCTGAATAATTTTGTGACAGCCGTAATTTTACGACCTCGGTGAAAGGCAGTTAGGCTGAAAGGACCAATAAAATGGTGTTTGATTTGGTTGATGGGATATTATCTTGCCTTGGGCGTGAAAAAAAATCAAGAATTGTTGCTTGTCTATTTATGACTCGCACAATGTAGGCATACCGTTTCGCCTAGGTGTGCATCAAAGGACTCCTTATGCACTCTGGAGGCTTTGTGTGTGGTATTCGATTCGAGGTATAAAATCGAATGCTTTGTCGAACGTATTAGTGCACTGCTGATGATGGCAATAACACAAATCAGAAGGTATATGCACTAATAAAGGTTTTTAGTACAGCTGACAATGGTGAGATGCCATACCTATAAAAATAAATACAAAACAAAATGGGAGAAAGTCAAAAGAGAAACTTATCCTCTGTGAGAGTTCCTTGGTGAAGTTCGGACGGGCGGGAACGCGT